CACTCTAAACTATGCAAAAACCCTGTGACCTGTCCACGCGCAGTAAACAAGCAACAGAAAATGATGAGGAGTTCCACCAATCAGAGCGTTTGTAGTTACATTTCTATCCAAACTGGCTCTGTTTGTGTGTCCGTGAATGGTGCGCTGAGATGCGGAAATATGTGGACTTTCTGCGCAGGGGCGCCCTCTAGTATCCACTGTGAATGAAACGGACATTACATGTGTTCATAGCATTAAATAATGGCCAATCTATAAAAATAATACTTCTCTCAAAATAAATTTAAGGTAGACATGTGATAATCCATGTTTTTCTACAGTGTACAACAATGTACTGGAGTTAGTTTTTTTTAAATAGCATTTAAAATCGCTAAAAAGAACTGTTGTGCCAAACCATCAGAACCAAACTGAAAACTGAGGTATTTATTGAACCTTGGGCTTGACTGTATTGTTGCATTCCTACGGTTTACTCTAAAATACTGTATAAGAGGAATATCACAAACTGAGTGCAGACTCCGAGTACTAACCTATGAAAAATATTTAACATGCAGTCTAGCATTTTGCACATTGTGCAATTATGATTTTGACATTAGACATCAAGGAGCTTCAAGTAATGTAGGAATATGCTATATGACCCCCGGTATCACCCCATATCCCCCACCAAAGGTCAAAGGTTGGCAGGTCTGGAGATTTGACAAATCTGAGTAGAGCTTGTTGACCTGCTGTCCTGTTCCCACCATTTATTGATTTTTCAGAAGGCTTACAGTGACAGTTATTTATGTTTTTGTGCCACTTAACAGCCTCAACCACACAACCTCTTGTTTCCAATCCTGGAATGAACCAAGCTATGAACCTTCCAAATCAGCCACTGGCCACGCATTGTTTACAGCTCTCCAACATGTTCAGTCCACAGACGTGAGTTGCACTAATTATTAAACCTATCCTTGACAATATGGTGTATGTGATGTCAAATGGCATGTGTCCTGGATTAAAGAAAGTAATTTAAAATAAAATTTCTTGTTGTGTTGCTTTGTAGGGAAAACGAACCTGGCTGGGACCTGGAGATAAAGGATGATGTTATCGAAGAGTGCAGAAAACACGGAGGCGTTGTTCACATATACGTCGACAAGAACTCTCCTCAAGTAAGCGATCACATTTATGCAGTGGCTATAAGGAGTCTACACACTCCTGTTAAAATTGGAGCTTTTCAGATGTAGAAAATGAATACAAGCAAATCATGTCAGATCTTATTCCACCTTGCAGTATTAAACCCAATAAGGTTTTACAATTAAAAAGCAGCTTTAAACTTTAACAGGGAGTGTAAACTTTTTATAGCCACAGTAGTTGAATATCACCAAATCTATTGAGAACATTGCCTTGGACATATTTCTTTGGAAAAAATAAATAAAAAATTTAACAACTAAATAAAAAGAAAGAGGAAAATGCAGCTTAGGAGCATTAAGATTTATTGCATGTTATTATTTCCATAATATTATAGAATTTAAGGTCTGAAGGCATTTTCAATAGTTTTTAAAGAAAGCCTCTTATAGTCACCTAATAATTAATCAAATAAAATGATTAATTATATTAAAAGATTAAGATTAATCATATTCTGTATGCAAAATAAAATAAAAAAAGTGATTTTGGGGGCAAAATGTGACCCAGACACAGATGTTTTTGGAGACTCGCCCCTACATTTTAGGGCTCAAAATCATCAAAGCCTAATCCTCACTTTTGCTCTTGTTTGGCAGGGAAATGTTTTTGTAAAGTGTCCAACCATCCCAGTAGCAATGGCTGTTGTCGGCGCCCTGCACGGCCGGTGGTTTGCAGGTAATCTCGTCCTATTTTCTCCCATCTACCAAGATTTTCTCTTTATAGGAGTGCCTTGTGATCTTGTATGTGACATTAATTGGACTCTCTTTCTATTAAACAGGTAAAATGATCACAGCTGCCTACGTGCCTCTACCTACGTACCATAACCTGTTTCCAGATGCTGCCACAGCCACAGAGCTCCTGAGGCCCATGCACCGATGATCCAGACGGCGACCCCTGCCTCTTACTGACCCTGCTTCATCTGGAACCGTACACCCCCTTCCCAAATGAACTGCTGTGGGCCAGAGGAAGTCCTGTCATGGAGGGCCACCTCATGTATGAAGTTAGAATTCACAGTTGGACTGTATATTGATATTGTATTTAACAGGGGTGTTGATCTACAGATAGAAACACCCTCTCTGTGTTTCGCTTATAATAGCAAAAGCAAGCTTTAGACCAGCTCTCGGCTTTATGTATAGTGGTCTGTTGATAAGTGAACAACTGTAACACCGTCGCCCTCTCTAGATGAACTCTTGACTCCTGAAAACCGGATTTGAAGGAGATTCTGGCATTTTTTGAAAGGTATTTGAGCAACTTTCTGTTTGTTTGATTTTTCTTGTAAGATTTCTTCATCTGTTTGATCTTCAGTCAAGAAAGTTTTTGTCTGTCTTCATCTTTTCATGACGGACAATGTGTTGTGAACTACTGGTTCATTTTCTGTTCTGTTTCTTCATTTTTAAGCAACAAAAGACAACCAAAAAAAATTGAGTTTTTTTTTTTTCTTTTTTCTTGGGGAGAGTCTACTTGAGCTGTTTAGCTTTCTAAAACATCTTTGAATTTATAACTTTTCATAATCAAGAATTGATTTTTCTAAAATCTTCTACTGATTAAATGACTTTCACAACACTGTGTAAAATTTGGTTCTCTTTGTATTCATGATGTTATGAAGGGATGGTAAACAAGTTTTATTAAGAGTAGATCACCTCTAGAGGGAGATATTAGTATGGACAATCTAGTTCATTGAATGATGAAGTATTATGGGGGGGGGGGGGGGGGGGGGGGGGCCC